AGCCCAGTCATACAGGCGGGTTAAAGATATCCCCGGCAGCACGGGCGGTAGTGCGAGTGGGTTCGTAACCTTTAGGTTGCACCTCACCTCGGGTGCGCCCCAAAAACAAGGTTTTGTTTTGTTTCGATTCCTTGGTCGTAAATCTTGTTGTCTTGTTTTCGACCCACCCTAGTGTTGGTAGCTTCATATTTATTGTGTGTGATAACTAGTGCATTTTATTTAGTTTGATTAGTCTGTATACTGTCTTGTTGTTCCCCCTGCCAGCAACCCCGCCGTCTCCACTGAGCCAGCCGGTTGCTTGGCTTTTTTGTCATCTCCCTTTTGTGCGTATATTTGTTTACCTATATTGGCCGACGCATTGTTGTTGCGCACGGTGAGTGCATTTATTTGGGACATTAGGTAGGTCGGCTTTTGTAAACAAAAGGTAAGGTGACAAAGTCACTAAAATAATCATCCCAGCCGTACCTTTGCGGTGGCCGAATCACCCGACCACTTCACCTACGGTTAGCGACCTGGGTGGATTATCGCTTACCGTCTCTGCTTCAGATCCTTCGCTACCAGCGGTGTCGTAATCATCAGCTGATGACATACTATTGTCCAAGACTGGTAGGATAGGCTCATCCACCTCACAACTAGGGTCTTCAGTACCACTGTTGCCACGCACAGAAGGCGGAATATTTTTTTTTTCTTTAGGACTCTTTGACATTATTACATTTTCTTCAAACAACATGTCACTGGTATTAATATCATTGGCGCGTATTCATAGTCCAGTCACTAAGTCGAAACTAATAAAGTTGCAACTTAAATTTAAGTATCAACTTAAAATTCACTTCTATTCATAGTCGCATTTCAGACTTCTACTAAGTAGTTTTAACTTAGTTTTACGATATTGCAAAACGGGTGTGAAAATGTATCGATTTTTCTTTACGATATTTTGCAAAACTGACATTTTTATTAAATAATGACAAGTTTGATCATCCGTTTATGTAATTTTTACTTTCATTGCATGTTTATGCAACAGAATAAGGTATAAGTTTCTTGTTAATTGTGTGAAATAGCCAGAACTACCCCAATGATGTGAAGTCGATGTTTATCGTAAGCATGCTGTAAAACATACAAACACATATCTAAATGTTATGCACTAACAAGAACGATAGAATACAAGATGGCGCATTCCCGCAGAATGACATTTGTGGCAACGGGTAAACAAAGAATATGGCGAAGAACAATGAGTTGACAGTTGTGAATTTGCAGTGAGAAAACGTGTTTTCTTCCCGATTCACCAATTTCTCAAGCCATCTTTGAATATAGCAAATTAAGCACTACGTTAACAAAAAATATACAATCACTCTTGAAATGTATTCAAAAGAATAGGTCTTATTAATTAACTATTTAGAATTTTTGTGTTTGTATTGCAGGTGCCGAAAAAAAGTGATAATATCTTGTCGCAGCGCATGTTTTCCTGCAGAAAGTGGTCGATGCTTGCTTACCTCCGATTTTAATTTGTAATTTGTGGTATTTCAACGTTTTCAACTTAACATGTCGTGTTTAAAAGTGGTCCGTAAAGTGCTTCATGCATATTACGATGGTGTCTAAATTGTATGGCTTCTCCTGCCGGCAGAACTCTACCCACTTTCTGGCCAAGGCGTCGTCGCGGGGAAACAAAAAAGCTGCATTTGGGGGCGTTACCCCTACGGCTGCTGCAATTCAACACACTACACAACATTTTTATAAAGATTTCATAACAAATAAAACGTTTTTTACTTCAGAACGCACGAATTACTTCGATTTTTCACTTGAAAGTACACAATACGTTTGCAATACGTTTGCACTTGTTTCTAAACAAAAAGTTTGTTTACGTATTGCCACAAATGTCAAAGTCGGCAAAACCAAAGTAGCGGTTTCGGGAATGCGCCACCTTCAGTTCATTTCACCATGATGCACTAATTTGCTTAAGCTTGATGTTGACTTATTATTTGAGCATTTATATATGTAAATCATTCCAATTATAAAATTGTGATGCAGCCTTACTCGAATTGTAATACGCATTTAATTTCATCTTCCGATTCAAATGGATCGCTCTTTGTAAATTTCAATTGGAGATCATTCAATGTTATCAAAATCACGCTCTGCCAACTTAATTTTTACATATTTCGTCTTTTTTTTCCTTAATTTAATAAAATACTTCTTCCTAGTTACGACTTAAGTACAGCTGCAGCCGAAACTAAATTTTAAGTTGGTACTTAGTCAGAAAAGGCGAAACTAAGGCGACTATGAATAGCTTTAGTTGTAACTTAGGATAAGCCGTCATCGATTCGCCAACAGTTAGCGAGTGGCGAAACGAACGTGCAACTGGCATAAATATATTAGATTGGAAGTACTGAAAAAGAGCTGTCACAAATGGCATATGTTGGGAAGCACTTAATGAATTGCTTGGAAGCACTGAATTATTTGACAGTTCATAAAGTAAACAAAATAATATTTTATGTGGATAGATACAAGGAGAATATTTTGCAATTATTTACAGAAAATTTAGAAGAATTTATAATAAAAACGCAAAAATGGACAACGAGCGACTAGATTTGGTAAGAACGTGCTCTTTTTTGTAATTCTCATGTATTTAGTCAAAAATAACATTTCAGATTTTCCAATTCCTACAAAATGGCGATGTTAAACAGCTTGCCTTCGAGCTCCAGCTCGGAATCTTCCTCAAGCTCTGATGAATCGGAACGGGAAGAAAGGAGCAAATGTG